GAGGAGCTAATGGCTGCCTTACTTGTATGGTGAGTTTTGTAAATCATTATACTCCCTAGGAAAGATTTTCACCATCTGTGTGAGAGTCTTCCCATACTAAGGAGTGACAAGAGAGAACTGTTAGTCCTCCACAAGTGGCAGCCTTCAAGAAGGTAGAGCAGTTAAAACAACCGAACCCTCTTGGTGTGTTACAGACTTAATGGAGGAGGCCAGTTGTAGGTCACCCTGTACACCTCTCCTGGTCCTACAGACCTTACGATTGCACTTCCCAATGAGCTTGCGTGTAATATCATCACCAGACTTGTCTGACCCCTTTCCATCTCCCAGAGAAAATGGTAAGATAATGAGTTACCTGAGTATCCATCACCAGGTCTGAAGGCCTTTTGATGGGGCTTCAGAAGGACCAGAGGAGATGAAATGTCTCCGAAGCTGGCGTACTATCATACTCCTAGTGACCTTTCCAGAAATCGGAGGTTAAAGTCTTGGAGGTAATTGGTGAGGCCATTAATCCCCAGTGACAGGTTTTTGAGCAGTGGCCAGAACCCAGGATGGTATTTAACAGGAGCTGGCTGCTTGCCCTCCCGGAGAGATGTTAACGATCCCTGCCAGGAAAGGGCTAATGTGTTTCCTCCCGCTGCTTCTGGGTCTGCTTATCCCAGCAACAGTGGAGCAGAGGTCTCCCAAGGCCTGTGGCTGTGGCTGTGGGCAGCACCCCTGCCCCTTTCCCTAGGGCTGCTGCATCCCTGCGCTGAGCCGGCTTCTGCCACCTGCGCTCAAAAGAGGGACTCGGAAACTCTGCACTGGAGGAAATAGTAGGCTCCAGAATTCATAACAAAAGGGCTGCTATGTTGGATCGGGAGGATCCAACTTCAATACATTAGTTGAAGTAACCCACTACGGTTGCCTCACTGAAATTTTTTGCTGTTCAGCTAATAGAGATTTATGGGTCTGCTGCAGTAAATCAAGGGAGCAATTCCAAGGGCCCACAAGGGCTGTGGGCCTGGTTTTGTGCAGCTGCAGTAGCCCAGTGTGCCATGAGGGGCGAATAGCGCATACTTCTTCATTGCGGCCAAGCCACGGGGCCATAGTAGTTCCTCACCGCATACCTACTGGCTATTCTTGTGCTCTGCTGGTCACGGCTACATACCCGATCTGTCTCTGTGCCTGCCACAAGTTAGTCAGGCTTTAGCTCAGGCACTTCTTCTTGTATAGAAGTGCTCTATCATGCTTGGAAGATAAAGGGTATTTTTGGAAGATCCATATGGAGTGTCTATCTTTCCCAGACATCATCTCCTAAAACTGCACATTGCCAGTTATTAATAGGTCAGTTAGTTACCCCAAGCTTTCAGAGACATATTTTCTATACTGAAAAAAAAGTTACCTTTCATTTAAAGCTCTTTCTTTTCACTGGTCTAATTCCAGTAACTGTAGCAAAATTTACTTGTGAATCTGGCCTGTTTATTTCTTTTGATTCCTCTTTGCCCTATTTTATTATAATACCCCAGGCATAGCTCACTTAATAAAGAGACAGTATGGGTTAGATTCAGGTTTTCTTTGAACTAGATCCGCACAGTCTAAGGGCATTTATTTTATTTTTGCCTTGGTTTCCCCAAATGTAAAATATAGTTATGGCTGCAAATCAGTATACAAGAGTTAAACAGTATTCTTGGCCAACCAGTATATAATATATAATTTGCTCTCCAATTTTAGAAGGAGGAGATGCTCTCAGTCTTTACTTTGGGTTCAGTCCGTTTTATAAGTCAGACTATCAGCATCAATTTGGCACTGCTTTTGCAGTTGATGCTTACAATCACCCCCTAGCAAACATCTTGCTTTTCAGATACCTTAAGCCTCCTGCAAACAAACAAATCATGGAAATTAAATAGTAATAAAAATGTTGTTAGCTTTGTACAATAAATTTTATCTCATATTTAAAGGGCAATTATTTCCAGAACCTTGGCAATTGTAGCTGTACAAATGATGAAATTGATTCCAGTCACAGCCCATCTTTCTTTGGAAAGGAAATACCAGTAGTGCTTGAAAAATGGATTATTAAGAACCTTGGTTCACTCAAGGTGGCTCATATGTTGTATTTGCTAACACAGCATCTTGCTGGAAGAAAATAAGGGGAGCTTTTTCCTAGCCCAGATTATTTTCTGCACAAATCTTTGGAGCAGGAAATAAAAAACAGCTAATGGTTTGTGGGCCATGTGGAATTAGTTTAAGCAAAGCCGAACCCTGATCCTTCTGACCGCCTCCTCTTTCCTGTGCTGTTTTGTCTATGCCTGCTTCAGAATATGTCAACAAATTTCTTTAAGCTCAGGAGGTACAGAAGGGGCTGGAAATAATGATTCTGTCTCCTGCTCCTTTCTCCCTCTCTTTTAATTTACTTTTTTTTAGGGAATGATTTAAAACAGATGTATTTTCATAAAAATGTACAAGTTTGTCTTGTAAAATATTTGTAAAGAAAAATAACCTCAGAACCTCTTAAAGTAATCGCTGTTGAATTCTGGAGATATCACAAAGGGTATTGTTTTTTGTTACATCAATATAATTCTTTTCTCACACAATTTAATTTTAAATCAAGGTAGCTTACAGGGACAGCAGATGTATGAATCTAAACTGAAGAGATGAAAATTGTGTGTACTACAAAGCAGAAGAAGTCTGTGATTTCTGTATGCCTTATTATTGCTCTCCACTAATATATTAAAAACCAAAACATTTTTATGTTTACCCAGTACTGGAAGTATGTGTTTTTCCTGAGTGGAAGAGACAGCCTCTCTTTCTCGATGATTTTGTACTGGTATGAATACTTAAATACTAAATACTGAATACTTAAATGAAACGCATTGGATGCATGCAGTACCATTTCAGAAGCGGTATACTGTAGGATGATAATGCTATCAGATTAGCAGACAGAAAAGACAGATAGCCAATCTGTCTTTTCTAGCAGCTAAATACTTTTAACATCTTCAGAAGGTATCTTGACAATACTGTTGCAGAACCAGTATCACTGGAATACCTTTTGATGGCCTTTAAATGGTATTTTCATCACTCAAGCTGGTTTATAAAGAAAGCAAAAGTCGCAATAAAATATGCGAACCAATATTCTGTCAGATAATAAAGTATTGAACATCAGGACAAAAAGGACTGAAGGGCAACATAAGCTTCTTTTTTAGGTCAATTACAGAGACTATTGAAGCCTGTCATTTCTAATAGCAAAACATTTGTGGTTTTTACCAAATGGTTTGCTGCGCTTTGTTAATCATGGATTATTTTTCTTTCTGTTTCTAATTTTGAGAAAGCAACAACCAAATTCAAACTAGCCAGGATACCGTGGCACCAGTCCCTTGGAAATGTTGAGTATAAACTTCTGATTTGCATGTAATCTGAGGAAAACTGAGAGAAATTGTCATTTTTGTCTGCGGGGATGCCTGATCTGAGAGCACTGTTTACTCTGCAGGTTTTTGATGCTACAGGCTCAGTCTCTCGGTTGAGCAGGAGACTAATGGAAAGTTTTGGGGAAAAGGGAATAGCCTGTCAAGAGTGGGACCAGGCCCAGGGAGGACTGGTCTGTGCATGCTGTAGGTGTCCCTGGCTAGGGTTGGTTAGTTAGTTAGGTTGATTTCTTGCATTCCTCTGACAGCTGCTTCTTCCAGGAGGCCGAGTCAGCTGGAGCTGGCAGAAAGGAGGAGAAAATGTATTGTAGCAAATGCATCAAAGACCCTGAAAAGATCTAAGTTAGGGTTATTCCTGTTTCTGAAAAGCACTTCTGTAAATTGAACACCGCATCCTGATATTTAACAAAAAATGAAATGACGGCTAGAGGCTTTCTTGGCCCTAACTGGATGGCTTTGTGGCTAACAGTCCAATGACACAGAGAAATGGTAAATAAGGAGATAGTGAAAGGCCTTTGTACGATTCCACCTATCCTGTGCCTCCAGGTCCTTGTGTGGCTGGTGTTTAAGAGCTCGGAGACCTGTAGGCTGTGCTAGGCATAGTGTAACAAGGCTGGAGCTGCGGCTCACGTACCTCTGGTGCCTCCTGCCCCGTGAATATTGATGAGGAGAAGTGGAGAGGGCGAGAGAGAGGACGTGCTCACTGGCCCAGGCGAATGGGAGAATAGGATGATTATAGAGGGCATGGCTGTATCTGACAACTTAAACACATATTTAGCAGCTTGTCTGCAGCTGGGTGATGCTTGTGGGCTTCCCTGGGGTGAATGCCACCTCCTGTGCCATGGGTGCATGAGGGGTGGCCACGGGGCTGGCAGCTGGTAGAGTATCAGACACCCAGAACGGTCCTCTGTGCATCACGGGTGCCTTAAACCACGCATAAAATAACATGATAAAATAGGTGTGATACGAACAGCTAAACGCCATTCTGTCTTTCCTAAACTCAATGGCTAATAATCGACATCAAGCAGGAGAGCGGAAGACCTTGCTATCACGCTGAGATGACAGCAGTTGGCGTGTCCTATTTCGTCCTAACCTTGGGCCCACCAGAGTAAGGGAGGTGGAAATCTCAAGCAGAGGCACAGTGAGCAAAGGGCATCTTGCCCATAGGAGCTGAAGCCGTTCTGATTTCTTTGTCCCAGCACTTCCAGGGGTGCATTTATCTTCTTGGTGCCTACCTCCGCTCGAGAAAGGGCATTCTGAAAAATGGCTGTCCTTGGATCTTTTAACTCATCAGCTGAGAGCATACACAACGCGTGCACTTGGCACCTTCAACGTGGTTATAAACCAGGGAGCTGAATTCTGCAAATACATATTTAGGAACTAATGTAATGAGAAATAATGTTGGGTAGTGCTAAATCTATATGCTAGGCTATATTTATTTTCAATATATACTGTTTCAAGGACAAGAAAATAATTTCTAAATACCAGTTCTTATTAATGACTTTTAGACACATCTATAACATTCAATGATAAATGCATAACTATACATTTGCTATGATCTTTTTTTAAAAAAAATGCAACTACCCCTATTTTTTTCTTCAGGACAATGAGAAAAAAGGATTTATTAACAAACTTTATGCTATCCAGGAGGTATGTGTCAGCGTCCAGAATGTCCTTGATGAAGCAGCTTGCTTTGGAGAAAGGATAAAGAAGTAAGTGCTGACACACCGGTGCTGCTTAGCCCTCTCATACTGCTCATATGTTTTCCAAGCTGAGGTGCAAAGTGTTAAACGACTAATTTTTTCATAAGGGACTCCAATTTTGGATGATTCATTGCTAAAACTCATCATTATTAAATTCCTTTATGCGGACTCTTGAGTTTTGTGAAAATTCTGTGATACTAATTTTGAAATTTAGAAATGTAGTATATGAGAGAGAAAAGTCAGAACTGAGGCTTTGAAGTAAAAAAGACAACAAACTTGTGAGGCATAACTGTAATTGTTTAAAAGTAATGATAAAAATGCAAAGTTTTGGTAAAGGGAATAAGCAGAGTTGCACAGGGGTTTCAGATTTTAAGGATATATGTGTGTTCTGGTGCCAGAAACATTTTATTTAGGTAGGCTAACAAAACATTTCCTCATAAATTATATATAATGCTTACTACATGATATATATGAACTACCAAAAAAAAAAAAAAGAAAGAAAGAAAGAAAGAAAGAAAAAAGAAAAGGACAAACCTTAAGCAGGAGAGGTTATGAGCTTTACAGAATATATGAGGAAGCATCTGTGAGGCCTCGGTATATTTTTGGCATGGCCAGTAATTTACAGTTTATCGTTCGAGATCAGAAAGGTTCCAGAGAGATTCTCTCATCTGGGAATCAGGGACAGGATTTACTTGGCTTTCTACCACCCGAAAGGTGATCACAAAGCCTCTCAAAATAAGAGAAGTTGGGAGCAGTGAATCCGCAGCCTCCTTTCCTCTGCAGCGTAAAGGGAGGGCGATAAGGTGACCCAGGAGCCGTGCTGAGCGAGAAGGGCTTCACAAGGACCTTTGCTGGAGAGTTGCTTTGGAGGCGCTCAGTGTATCTTAAAGGGTAGTTAAAGCAGTGTGTTCCCGCTCGCTTCAACTGTTATCTATAAATATAAGGCTTCTGTCCTTTCCACTGTCTGGTGCTACATACAGGAGTTGGTGTTCTGTATTTATGGGTTTGCAGGCTGTGCTGAGGGTATGGCCCCAAAATAAATATTTCCTTTTGGAAGTGAATTTTAAAAAATTAATACGTTAGTGTATGTCAACTTACAGGAAACATGAGGATAATCTTTCAACCCGTTTTGATTGTATTTTGTTTTGAATTTATCAGCAGCGGAAAGCACATCAGTATCAGGGTAAACGGAAAGTTGCCATTTATGCATTTAAGGGCAAAAGCCCTGACAGGAAAACATTTCCATGGGGACCCTTCCAAGCAGATGTTATCAATGGCAGCAGAGGCAGGCATAGCATGTTATGGTGCACAAGCTTTCCAAACAAGCAAGATGTTGGTGCTCCCTGTACACCAAGCCTTTTATCAACAGGCTGTTCATGGAAGTCATCCTGATGATTAAGCTCCTTTAATTGTGCCTTTTGACAGTAGAGCTTGTTCTATTATGTGCAAGTTAAGAGTGATACAATTTTGAAACAAAGTGCAATTTGAGTCTTCCTATAAATCTCTGTAATTTGTTCCTGAAACTATAATAGGAAACCTGTAGCGAGTGCTATGCTAGCAGTGCACAGAAGGAGGGTTGCTGGGTGAGGAGCCCGTGTTCCCACACATGGCGGGTCTGTGAGCCATTGCACAGAGCCGAGTCGCAGGAACACGAGCAGACCCTCAACCTTCTGTTCAGCCCAAATGCACACAGAAGAAGAGAAAAGAGCAGGTGTCCCCTGAGGAGAAAGGGAGCGATCCTACACCAAGTGATGCTAACATAATGTTCACTTTGGAGGCATGTCAAAATTGCCAGGGAGGGGAAAAAAAAGACAAATAAATACAAGAAGCCAGAGATCGTTATGAAAAATATAGCTAGCAATTAAGATAGTGGCAATTATTCAGCCAGAGAAGCAAAATAGGTTAGCTGGTGTGATTAGGTACATAGGTCCATAGTAACTGATAAGACCATTAAAGGTATCAACAAGTTATCTAGAACCAAACCCCCATTTTCCTTTTGGATAATTGTATGTGCCACCTCTGGCATGGTAGTGCCTTTATGGAATAACCCCATTTAGCCAATCTGCCTTTCACCAAAGTTCCCATGGGATGTACAGAAACTGGCCATCTGTTCTCCTTATCTCTCCTGCATGCAGAGGTTGGGGAACCACAGTGCAGCAGTCATGACCCATTAGCTTGCACTTCCTCTTTGCACACATCTCAACCTTTGCAAAAGGAGATGATCAGCAGATTTTTATCACACTGCAGATTTTGGAACCCTTATTAGAATCACAGAATCACAGACTATTAGCAACATTTTAGTACCACTTTCTTGGTGGGAAGTGCAAACCCCAAAGGAAAGTCTCTCTTCAGCCCTTAGCTGCTTGCTCTCTGCTGCGGAAAGAGCAGGGAGGATATCAAACAGAAACACGCAGAAGGGCGTTTTTAACCACAACATCCTACATCTACCTGCCTGAGGGAAGAATGGTTTAAAGGCAGAGATCTGGGTTGCCTGTGCAAATAAATTTGGAGAGAAGGGAAGTGTATATGTTTTGACTGCCACTGAAATCGTGGGGAGGCACTGAAGCACTTGAGATGCCAAGTTAGTGCTTCCTACAGTGGATTTGCACAGCTGGGCTGGAAAGAGGTGCCAGGCAGTGAGCGAGTGGGTGAAGTGAAGGCCTGTTCCCCTTCTGCCCCGGGAATGCTTTCAAGCCCAAGCTCTCCCGGGTGTTCAGCAACCCTACATTCATGCATGACCTCAGCTGGGTAAACCTGGTAAAGACTAGCAGTTGCACCCCTTGCAGAGCTGCGGCTGCTTGCCCCATATTTTGATTTTATTGGTTCTTTGTTGGAACTTTTATTGATTCTTTTGGGTGACTAGTGTCCTGACTTATATTAATTTTTCACATAGTATGTTCAACTGGACTGTCCCGTTCTTAAGCTGGCTGGCAATTGCTGCCCTCTCCGTGTTCACAATCGTCCTGTATTTCATTCCACTGAGATACATTGTCCTTGTCTGGGGTAAGTAAAGTCTTTTTTAACCGTCTGTGCCACTTAGGAAAAAAATATTTTTTAACGGATGAGTTATATTGTCAGTAGTTTGCTGTATTTATGGTCATGAAGCTCCTTCATGATGGAAACAGACAGGTTAGTTAAAAATCACAACTGTGTAAAGATTTAAACCCATCTCTAAAATGCATTTTTCTCAGCTGGCATTCTAGACTTCATCATACCATAAGCATGGAGCCATGAGAATTCTTCATATATCAAAAGGTTGCTTTGTCTAGATGTTACTTTGATTTATTCTCACCATTTATACACAAACAGAAGCATTTCAATCCATATAGTGTATTTAGGACAATATGCCTTTTCTACCTCACTACTTTATCTTCTGAAAGTATATGTAAACGTAACAGCAAGAAACCTGTTTAAAGGGTCACCTTTAGTCTGACAGAAAGGTATATGTGGTATTTGGTCAGTTGATAACGAGCAGAAACTGGGGGAGCTGGGGTAGGCAGTGGTGGAGGGATGTTTGTGTTGTGACTGAGCTAAGTTCTTGACAGTTATGTTTATCCCTTACAGTGATTTTTAAACAGCTACTGTTAGCACATCTATTGTAAATAAAGCTCTAAGTTTTCATTTGTTCATTTCTAATACAGTTCTGCATCACTAGCAGCTGTACCCTTATTCAGCAGTGTCAACATGCAAAGAGATCTCTCATTTAAATCTGTGGCTAGATTTTCTTTCTGAAGACAAGAATAACAATCATTTCTTTGAAAAACCTTTGAGTGTGAGAGATGACCTAAATTCATTGAACTGACACTGGACAATGTGTTTTTTAGATATAACTCAGTATTAGTAATACTCTTGCACAGTCTTTGCAAGTAAATGTAACACAATATACAAAATGGGGAAAGAATAAGGAGAATTTGGCCAAAAGAGGAAATCAGTAGAACTAAAGAAGCAGATGTATGGGCTTACTGCCTTTTCTTGTCTCATTTATTTGCCACATATCTGTTATCCCTAGAGTGCAACACGGCCCCTTAGATTATTACCAAAATTGCATTCTTCTTTGCATACACAACATGATAGGGCTTTTATTTTTCTGAGCCTACTTGGTCTATGTCCTTTTTCTAGTGGCATCTTGGACACTTGGCTTAATACATATTGCTTTGGTGCAAGAACTTGAGCTTATAATACCTTTCCAAGAACCTCAAAACTGTAAAATCAACACTGTTGGTTGACAGGTTATATTAAGAGACACTCAGCCCTGCAATACACTGGGATATATTAGACTTCCCCCAAAAAAAGAGTATATGCAGGTCTCTGTTTCAGGTAGGTCAGAGCCTGGACTCCTAAACTCCAGTCCACACCTCCCAGATCATGAGTAAATGGCAAAATCACTGTTTTAATGCATCTTGCATGTGCTTATGCCCGTCCCGTATGCTCTTTCATGTGTGCTTTTTTGTTGTTATTGTTTTTTGTTTTTCACCTAGTAAGCTACCTAGCTAGTCATTGATATGACTTTAAGTGCCTTTGTTCATAAGAGGGTGCAAGAGATCCTGCACATCTTGCGGGATCCATCTGCACTTCAGTTTAGGTGACTTCTTGCTCATGTCATGTCTAGGGATCCTTTCTTTAGGTACCTGTTCCACCTTCCATGTTGTGTTGTGAAGCAGGACACATAACAGCATAGGTGAGGATCCAACATCAGTGGAATCCAAACCTCCTTAGCTATGAAATGTGTTAACACAGAGCACTCCAATGCTATATGTTGGTTTGAGCCACTCTCCCTTCAGCTTCGAACTGCCCTGAAAATGTAATATTCCAAACACATACATAACTGTTTTCTCCATTATTTCACATTACTAGCCTCCCTGGTGTATATTCATTTCTTCATCCTGTTCATGTATCCTGCCTTTGAAAGTAAATGATCTCTGTTGTTTGACTTCCATCCCTAGGAAACTTTAAGCCGTTCTCTAGCCGCATCTGCCCATTTAGCTCTTTGGGAGTGCAGATGTTTTTTTAAGAAAATTCCTGCGTGCTGTGGCTGAGCTTATGTATAGCTGTCTGTCTTCTGTACATCCATGGGGACGGCCTCTTTCAGTCTGCTTATTCAGCACTCTTGGTTCTTTCCCTTCTAACCCTGTTTCTCTCTTGGTAGACTATTGGCCCTTGAGCTGCATTGGTCACAGTGGAGTACGAAGAACCTCTGCACTCAAATCTCATTTGCAGTGGTGTAGAGTCCTGGTAGCTTCTACAGCTATATACAGAAAGCAGTACAGAGAAAATAGTTTTAATTAGAAAAACGCCAGGCTTTTAGAAAAGACCCAAATCCCTCATCTTCTTCTCTACAGACTTCCTCTGTAGAGAAGGCTCTCTTTTCTTGAGCCCTGACCTGGATTTATTCATGCATTTATTTTCCATGTGGTAACTGGTTCCCTTTATGAGAAGGAAGGGATAAGGTTGAGACCATATCAATTCTTCTTCAATTCATTAATGGTTGGTGTGGTGGCTGTGTTCTGTAGACAGAATGGCAGACATTGTGTTTCCTAGTAACTTGATGATATAAAGAATTTTCTTGAACAAGGTTGTTTGGCTCTGAAATGTTGTTTCTTGATACTCATGGTTTTTATCATTGGATAAAAGGGTCGTACCTGTCCTCACAGAACAGCTGAGTATCATGCCCTGGGAGACTGGAGATGTTATCAAGATTTCATGTCCTTTCTACAGCTTTGTGAAAGGCCTAGACACCAAAGACAGAATTATCTCATCTCTGACACAGGCTTGATAAATAACACAGACCAGCAGTTACATATTTTCAAAGATTATGCCAGCTTTCTCCTGTTCTTGTGAGAATCTGGGTGATTTGTATCATTCCTGGTCCTGCTTTAGGCCTATGTTCCTAGTGCACACACTAGATTTTGTGTGTGATGAATCTGAGCCGGTGTGTAATGAAATGAAAACAGATATAATTCAAAAATTCCACTTTGGCTTAATTTGAAGGGGATGGGCTTTTCTTGGTGTTTTTAAACCCTTTGCGTTAGAACTATGAGACTATCAGGTCTAAAGAAGAATCTTAGGCCTTCTCTGCTTGGATCATCTGTATCTGTCATCCCTGATAGAGATTTGTATAATCTTTACTTCAACCTTCACAGACTTAACAATTTTCCAAGTGCTTCTTTAGCATTAGAAAAATTCTCCTGGTATCTAACGCAAATCTTCCATCCCACAACCAAACCTATTACTTGCCCTGTCCACCACAGACAGAGACGGAGAACACATAGTTCCTTTCCTTTTTGTGACCTCTTCATGTTTAAAGACTTAACAAGCCAGTGCTTGTGTTTATTTTCAGAAAAAAAAAATATATATAGTCCAAATGTGTCTTAAAAATGCTATTAGAGGAATTTTAATATGTCACTAGAATGTTTGCATTTTGAAGCAGGAAACCACCGCAGCACAGTGTGACTTTTAGAGCCTGAGTTCACACTTCACTCATCCATTAATTTAATGTTAGTATCAGACTTTGAAATGGATCCCCAAAAAAATTCTCAGAACTTTGCCAAAAATATGTGTTTTAATAAGATGATCATAGTAATATTTGAACTCTCACTTTTGCAGGTATCAATAAATTTACAAAGAAGCTTCGAAGTCCATATGCAATTGATAACAACGAGCTACTTGACTTTCTGTCCAGAATTCCCTCAGATGTACAAGTGGTGTGTATACATTTTAAAGGGTCCATACAATTGATGGTTTAATATATGGCATTGTGATTTTCTATTTTTTTAAAATTAATTTGAAAGCAGTTATTTTGATTTAACATTAGATTCTTTGGCACAAAGAAATTAAAACTCCAGCTGGGGATTTCGCATGAAACTTAAAGAGTCTGTGATACAGACAGTGCAGTGAGGAATTAGCTTCTGCTAAGTTATGAGGTATTCTATGAGGGTATTTCGAGGAAATCAGTAAAAAGTCAGCTATGAATTGCAAGCTTTCATACTGCAAAACACTATCTCATGTGAAGGTAAAAGGCATTAAGATACACTGTGCACAGAAATCACCTCCAGTATCCCAAAGACAATATACTTGCTATATTTCTAGGTGAAGATCAATTCAGAGCTGGCATAAATAAGAGGTACACATGCACATACTGAGTCTGAATCTGATCTCTCTGTGGTAGGCCTTCGAAAACAAATGTATTCTTAAGAAACAGATTGCAGAGAATATTCATCCAGCTCTTTAAAGTGAATACTGCGTATTTTCTGTGTTACCTCTAATAGAAAAAAAGAAAAAAAGTCTTCTAAAAAGTTTACAGCAGTACATTTCTTATTTCCTGGCAGGATTCAGCTAATGGTGTTTTCCATCCTCACTCGGGATCTATCATTCTGTTGCTGTTGCATTACAGCTGCAGATCCCATCCAGCTTTCAGGACAAGAGCTTTTTCTCTTTCTCTTTCTCTCTTTCTCTTTCTCTCTTTCTCTCTTTCTCTTTCTCTCTTTCTCTCTTTCTCTTTCTCTTTCCTTTCCTTTCCTTTCCTTTCCTTTCCTTTCCTTTCCCTTTCCCTTTCCCTTTCCCTTTCCCTTTCCTTCCTCTCTCTCTTCCTTTCTTTCTTTTCCTATTTTTCTTTTCTCTTTTTTATTTCTCTCTTTTTTTCTTTCTCTCTTTTCCCCTCCTTTCTCTCTCTCTCTCTTTTTTGGGGGGGGGCGGGGGGGAGAATTAAAATCTTTTTTTCTTTTTTTTTCCCCTTTTTTACCCACCTGACCAGTTTCTCCCTGAATGTTGTGTTTAAACAGGCGCAGTATCATGAACTGAAACAAGATCCCAGTCACAGCCCAAGCAAGAAGAAGAAAAACAATCCTGGCTAGGACTGGAAGGCCAATCCATGGCCTTCATGTCCTGAAGAGACTAGCTTCCACAGGGGGATGATAAAAGTAAAAGCCTACAGCCTAAGCAGCATTTCCTTTCTTTAAGCTTTTTATTCATTTTGCCTTTGTATCTAATGGAAAGAATTTGTAAGTATTGTATAAAGGCATTTCTCACTGAATATCTATTTAGACTGTAAAGAAATATTTGATGAAGGTTTCAAGCAGTTGGAAGGCCCAGTTAGAAATAGCATAACACATTAAGGGGCTCAGTGTAAAATGGTAAATATGTACTACTACTTGATAGTCAAAGATACCTTAAGCATTCAAATCATGCCAATTAAATCTGCAAAAGATGTAAATTTAAATCTGAATCAAAAAATCAGTCAGGTTTTATCTGTAAACATTAATATTTTTATCCAATAATTCACCATTAAAATTTTCTATGTTTTATACATTTCAACAGAAATACAATGTAGTGGAGCCTACTGCACTTAAGTTTTAGCAGGTTTTCAACTTATATTAGCTCCTTATATTAACTCCTGGTGCAAGGTATTCCTGTGCAGTAGGGCTGCTTATAAGCCAATGAACACACCAAGTGCAAATCTCTTACTGGAGCTCCCAGAAGTAGTTCCTGATCTTTTAATCATTCCATTGTAAGACTTAAAAAATCTCGCTCTCTCAAAATACTGCCAGGTTTGTAATTGATTGCCTATCTGATTTTTTTTATATGTACTAGTAATTTTAATTTGTACTACATAATTGAGTGAATGAGTCCATAGCTCTGCTGCAACGGAAGCACTATCGAGCTAACTCCATACTGCTTTGGGTGTCAGGCTAGCAACCTCTTTTGTGCACATAACTATTTTAATACAGAAATCTTGCAGAAGGTATTTTTGCTTTCAAATCACAAGGTCATGTTAACATGCTTATGATGCAGCACTTTACCTGTTACAGATACAAAATATAGCGTAGAGGAAAAAATGCAGTTGTGGTAAAACTGAAATAGCAGTTTTATTTCCTTAGCTAGCAATGTAATCAGTTCTTCTGATAAAACTGTGCCCTACTGCATGGAAACTGCATAATTTTTTAGGTTAAATAGAACATACAGAACAAATGTTTACATTTCATATGCTTTAATGGCTGCTGCCTAGTGACCACTTAAGAATATATTCTCGTATTTCTGCATGCAGAGTTCCGCACTCAGTTGCCCATATAGTGAGTGGAGAAGTCATTCCCAAGGGATTAACTGTGCGTAGCTCTTGGTCATCGTTCCCAGAAACATCAGAGGGAATTTTTGCCCAAGAGAGAACTGCAGGGCCATACCCTCCAAACAAAAACTTCCCCCGTTGTTCTCTGTAGGGTCCCCCTCATTTGTTGCAATTACTGAGAAAGTTATATTGAATTAGCCTAAAAATACTTTTTGAAAAGCTTATTTACAAACACTTTGTGGGCAAACATACACATCCTGCAGTAAGAACTACTTGGTGGCTTCATAGCTCATGCATAGATCATTCTGAATTTGTTTATTTTACAGATACATTGATAACTAGTTTCTTATACTGCAATTATCTTGAACCTTTCTGTTTGTACGTGAAAGGATGCCAATTCAGCTGATGTTCCGTAGAAGGTCTTAGACCTCAATATGCTTTTTTAGATCGTGATTTTCATAGAATTTATTTGCAAATGTTACATACCCACCTGTCTATTGCAACGTAAAGCAATATAAAATTGATGAGATGAGCCTTTTTTGCTTTAAAAAGATCTTTCAGTTTGACAATGTGTGAATATTTGTTCCCAGCTATCAATTTTGTAAAGTCTTTCTGATATATTGCAAGCCTTGTACCTTCTCAATATCATCCATCGTTCTGGGAAAATTTTCTGTTTTTTTTTTTTCTTTTTCTGTACTGACTTTCTAATGTTTCATTTGCTACTGTCTTATGTACATTTATTGCATTAAACACACTTTTAAGAATCTCTATACCGTAGGTATTAAGGCAGCTTTTCTTCTTTGAAGTCGTCTGCTATCATTTTCCCACAAGAGGTTTGGAGGGCAAGTGAACAAAACCATCATATTTCTGTGTGTAGTATTTCAGTATTTTAATCCCCTAACATGTAAGTGCTGGGGAGGGTAAGGAGAGAAGTTCATATTTTTGAAATCAGTTGAACTACTTTAATGCCTTAGTTGTTTGGAGTAGATCTCATTGATAATGTAACACACAAAAGCAGGACTGAATAAGAATACCCTTTGATTAAGTATGATTCTCCTGGCCCTGCTAAATAAGTCATTTTTAAAATTTTATTTTTAATAATTTGTTTGTGAACCAGTTTTCTGTATGTGAAGTTTGTCTATATGGCTTTGTGTGAGAGGCCTCTTTAGAGAATAGTCCTGTGTAATACTATAATTATTTCAAAATACCTTCCATTTCTTACTTATTTCTGGAGTTAATTTTTGAGCCTGGTAGATTTGTCTGGCAAATTATTGCTAGGTAACTCATTTGCAATGTGATTCATTGGCGATCAGGAAGAAAACACAAGTCCTGATCGAGAAACACTTTGCTCAAGGAAAAGAAAATTAAGCAACTTCATTTTTATCTAGCGAGAGTGAACAAGTTTGGATCCACACATTAAGTAAGTGTTAAAGGACATGGATTCGTCAGAGGTCGATGGGTTGAGGGGTTTGGGGTTCCTGTTGCATTGGTGCTGAGAATTCAGAGCACAAATCTTGCTTGTAGGGGGTCTCACTTCATAGTAAGGAACACATAAGTATTTTTTTAATAATAGCAGTGAGCTTTAAGTGAAAGGGTTACTATGCTGTAGTTAGGATTTTAAGTTCAAATGGAATATGAAAGTGCCTTTTTTTTTTCCCCCCTCCAGTTAAAATGATGGTGGGATAATGAGAAATTAATTACTAAAGCAGGGTATCTGCTAATATGGGCCCTAAGAGCATAGTCTTTAGCAACAAGAACTACTCTCAGCTTTGCTAAGCAAACATGCTATGTGTCAGTGTTTTTTTTAGGATACTCCAACAACACAAAGCAAGGAGAGAAAGGAAGGAAAATCCTTCCTTAGTAAACAAGCTTTAAATCCCCCAGCGGGTACACCAGGCGGCAGGAAACCTTGGGCTCTGCCGGGAGCAGCAGGATATCCCCAAATCGCAGCTCTACCTGAGCGTCCTTTACTTACTCAGCCACAGAAATCTTTGCTGACAGGCAGACACAAACTTCTTTCCATTTCAGAGCCTGCTTTTTTGCGGGGGGACAAACTTCTTTCCTCCCAACTGGGCTAATTTCTAGACTGCTGTGCAGCTGCTTCTGCTGAAGGCTGACTAGCAGCTCCTCTTTCTCCCCAATCAAAAAGCTGCAATCGCTAATTTTCAGCAAATATCTCCTCACCACGAAAACTTCTGAAGTCTTCTAAAGGTGAAAAACCAAAGCTTTCAGAGTGAGAGAGATTTTCAATTATAAGCCTCTTTTTTTTTTTTTTTTCAGTGTGAAACACTGGATTTACATTACCTTCTGCCTAATCAAAGTGTCTTCTGCTTCCTGAGGGGAGAAATTCAGTACTCCCAGGTAGAATGGGGACAGACATAAACCTAGAAAAATGTAGAGGTATTACAAAACCATACTGTTCTGTACTCTTTCACTTCCAGAAGTGGGTGAAATGCATCCAGTTGAAGGCATCATGTAGTCGATGAATGAGTTAAAGGAGCCTCAGAAGGAAAGAGGGTGAGGACCAATCTGAAGCTAGTGCAGATAGGCCTGGAGGGGTATTGAGGAGGGCTCATCTCTCCTGCACTCAGTTGGAGGAGAAAGAGATCCCGCAAGAGTCCTTCATGCTTGGAAACTAATTTTGCTGTTGTAAGCCATCTCTATTTCTCCTTGCTTTTCTTGGCTTCTATGAAAATATGGAGAACTGCCTCAGTTGGCCCCTGAAAATGTCCCCTCAAAAGAAAAATGTCTTAAAATTATGTAGCATAGCTGTTGCCAACCACAGAGGATGTGGGAAGTATAGGTCAGGTCAGATCAGGAGGTTAAATCATTTTTGTTGCAAGAGGGATAAGTTTTCTGTTTCTTTCTTATCACAGTAATCAATCAAGAGAAGGTATGTTGCTAAAATCAAGATTTTTTAGATCGATAATGTAATTAATTAAAAAAAAAAAACTTTCCATAAGCTGTCATTGTGAAAAAAAAAAGAGAAATCTTTAGTTATCCATTGCACAGGGCATTGTACTTGTAGACAGTTTCGTTTTGTTCTGTAAGAATTTCAAGCTCAAAAATGTTAGATTTTAGCCCTATTTTGAACTGGACAAATTGCACCTCAATGTATCTTGAGTGTCCAGTTTAAAATTCTGATGTATTTAAATGAAATGTTTTTACTAAAAGGGAAGGGGGGAAATAAAGCTATATTTCTTTTCTCAGTCCTAGTACAAAAATTTAAATGGTAAAACTTTTTTTTTGTTTCATGTTGAATAATCGAAACATCTGAAATCCTTATTATTATTCATACAAAAATAAACATTTTTTCATATAATTGAAATAATCAAAATTGCTTTTTTCCAGTTGGGCTTTAACTAAGCTACAGCTGATTGAAGAGTAGGCTACGGAATTGGTCATGGATGTCCTTTTCTTCACAGAATGATGGTTATTTTCTGGAACCATTTAGTAGTTAATATCTTCTGATCTGCTATACCTGATGGAAAGTTGTGCTCCAAAAGCATTTACGCTTGTTGCTTGTGATCTTTTTGTAGACATGCTACAAAAAAAAAAAAAAAAAGGCAAGATCTTGTAGATCTGCGACTAATAAGGAAACCAAAAGCAGCAAGGTGAGAAAGAGCAAACACACTGAGTAATTAGTGACAAAACCCCGTCAAATACATATGAAGTGTTGAGCGTTCAACAGTTTCAAGAAGGAGAACATTTGCTGGGACTCAAGAGCTGCCATCTTTGTTGAACAAATGTCATTGGGATAGCCACAAAATTCAGAACTTTGAAAAGAAAGTG